GCTCATCCTACAGTACTTGAGATGGTATCAAATGAGCCATCAATTTGCAAGGTGTTTGTTAAGTGAGCCTATGCATTTGAGGGTCTCTGAGGGGAAAACCCACTTCCCTTAGCAAGTGAAGACATGTTGCTTTGTTCACCGTATCTTGTAGTGACTTTAACCATCGAGTGACGATTTTATGAATTGGCTTATGTATCACCTTATTAGGATTAAACCAAACTTGTCCTTGACACCAAACTGGGTGGTGTTTATGTAGTTTCCTTTGATTGTTAACATAGTGGATATCTTGTATTCTCAGCTGATAGCTAGACACGTTTATATTTTGTAAGAATTCCATCCCATATAAGCTTCCACATGAAGATTTGGAATCATGGAGGGATCTTAGTTTTTCATATATATAGCTCCAGTAAAAACAATGACAAGAGACTCCTGGTTTTTCTAGTGTCAATTGGTGGTACATTGAGGAAACCTTAAGTTGATCTCTAGGCAATTTTTCTAGATCAATTGATTCGAGTCTATAGTTCTGTGTTTGGCTATAAATCTAATATATTGTTTAGTTGTATAGGATTGATGAGTTGGGTAAGTAGAAAGAGGTTCTATAAACCATCCTATTGAATAGCTCTATTGCAACCTTTGTTGGAATCCACGGGTTGTGGAAAGCATACTTGATTTTAATTCTTTCAGTAGTCCATGGGCTTGTTTCCACTAAAAAAGAACTTTTTTTGGCCTTTCTTGGCTCCAAAAGTACTTCCCCTTGGGAAATACTTGCAGCTCATGACTAAGCTCCATAAAGTACATATTTGGACATGTTAACAAACATTCTCCATATGTTCTTACTAAATAAAGCTTTATTCATGTGAAGACTACTTCTTAGGCCCAACCCACCCATGACTTTTGGTAAGCATAACTTAGGCTAGGAAATGGTGTGCTTTGAGCCATGATGTCCATCATGCCACCAATAATCTCAAGAAATCTTTTCTATTGTAGAGTGAGTCTTGGATGGCAAGATAGTGGTGAGCATATATAGAGTAGACAAGAATTGACTAGAAGAGAACTGATTTAATCAAGGTTGTTCTCCAAGATTGGGAGTGGAGTTTGGAACTCCAAGTTGAAATTCTTGAAGTCATTCTCTCATGTATTTCCTGATGTGAGACATTGTGTTTGTCTTTCTGTCCAATATAGGATCCCAAGTATTTGGAGCCTAACAGTGGTTTTTAATTAAAGTAGGAGTGCACCTGAGAATAGTTCAATTTTTTTTAGGATTTCAGTGAGAGTCCTAACTTGTTGGTGATCTCCCTGGCAAAAGAGGACGGCATCATTCACAAATAAGAGATGGCTTATTTGTGGACCTGTTGATGGGGTTGTTGGTGAAGTTCGCTGCTCCCAAACCAGCCACACTTTAGACAGACTGATGGAAGTAGTACCTAACTTATAAGTTTTACAATCCACTACTCTACGCCCAAGTGATTCCTAGCAATGGTTTCAATAGAACACATCCCACTAGTAGATCGAGATGCATCTTTGTTTACTTTGATAGTTTTCTCATTTGGGGGGTGACACATAATAAGTTTTCTAGTCTTATTTAAAGGCACTAAAGAATTTTTGGTGCTTAATTCATTAAATTCCTTGTAGGCTTTTAAGGCTCTTTCAAGAGTTATTTGGAGAGGGGGTAGTTTCATTGTTGAATGTTTTTTGGTTTCTACTCTTCCAATATTCCATAATATAAATGCACTTTTCTTTGTTTTTGAAACCTCCATCAACATTATTTTTAGTGATTTTGTCCCACCACTCAAACATACAAGAGTCATAATCACTTGGGCCAATAATAGTGGGGGAAACCATTCTCCAAATCTGGTTTGAATACTTACATTTCTTAAAAATGTGAAACAAGTCTTCATCCTCTCCACACATACTTCGTCCCCATCTATGTTAAAACCTCTACTACGCAGGTGGGATTTCGTAGGAAGCTTCTCATTCAAAAAAAGGTACATGTAGACTTCAACTTTTGAGGGCAATTTAAGTTCCAAATAGCAGAATTCCAATGCCAACTATTTACACCCGATTGCATAAAGCTGCATTTTGTCCTAGGGGGTGAACTCAGAGAGAGAGCGCCTCATCCATAGCCCATCTATGTTTCCAAAAGCTGATTAATCTACCATTGCCAACCTCCCATCCTAATCCTTTATTTAAGAGCTCTCTAGCTTTAAGGATTCCCCTCCATGCCCATGATGTAGTTTCTTTCTCCTTTGCATTCAAAAAATCTTCTCTTTGCAAATATTTACCAGTGATGGCTTTGACCCAAAGGTTCTCTTTATCACTGATGATTTTCCAACCTAGCTTTGCTAAATTGGCTTCTTTGACCAAGTGAAGGTTTTTTAAACCTAATCCACTCTAGCATTTTGGGGAGCAAGCCCTCATACAATTAATGAGATGAAGGGGTTTCTTATCTCTTGAGTTTGTCCAAAGGAAATTTCTTTGACATCTTTCTAATTCCTCAATGATATTTTTAGGGAACTTAAAGGATCTCATGAGGAATTGAGACATCATGCTGGTGGTAGCATTCAATAAGGTTACTCTTCTAGCAATGGATAGAGTGTTTTTCTTCCAACCAACTAGGGGAACTTAAAGGATCTTTGTAACATGCCCATTTATTATAGGGGAACCAAGATAATAGCTTGAATTTCAATGGATTGGAATCCTCAAGATCCTAGCTAGAAGTTTTTGAAATCTATTGAGAGTGTTATTTGAAAATTGGACTTAGGACTTTGTAAAATTTGGGCTTTGGCCTGAAGTTGTAGCAAAGATGAGACAATCATCAACAAAGAAAAATGTAGGGGGAGAGAGGGTCCCCTTGTTTGATTCCCTTAGTAGGCTTAAATTCCTCCATGGGGGTTCCATTTATCAGGATTTGATGTGTTGTTGTTCTGATGCACCCAATGACCCATCCCACCCAATTTTTAGGGGACCCAAATTTTTTAGGACTTTTCTATGAAATCTCATCCTAATCTATCACAAGCTTTCTCCATGTCAATTACCGGTTTTCTATTTTTTTTTTCTCTCTCATTAAATGAAACATCTCTTGAGCAACAAGAATGTTTAATTTATTTGTCTGTTGGGGATAAAAGCACTTTGGTATGAGGATATAATTTTATCTAAAGGCTTTATTCTATTGACCAAAATCGTTGAGATGATCTTATAAATTGTATTGCACAAATTTATTGGTCTGTAATTATTAATTGACTTCGGGTTCCTATTTTTTGGGATGAGGGCAAGGAATATTTTATTTAAAATGTGACACAATTTTTCTGAATGGAAGAAAGCTTTTACTGATTGGATGATAGAATCTTTTATGATGTACTAGAATTTCTTAAAAACAAGGCATTTAGCCATCTGACCTAGGAGATTTAAGGTCCTTAATTGATTTGGAGAGCTTCGAAAATTTCCTTCTCAGATACTTCCCTAATAATTGCATTATTTTGATCATCAGTGATGATGCGGTTGTCTCCTCTATGAATTCATCAAATTCAAATGTTTCCTTGGATTAAGCTTTTCAATAAATTTTCTCTAAAATATTTGGAGATCCCTTCATGTCCTTTTATTTTCTCTCTTGCCTAAGTCTATTTCTTGCCTTCCTTATACTTGCAGCTATATGAAAGAATTTATTATTTTTATCCCCTAGGTTAATCCAGTCAATTCTTGACTTCTGCGCCCAATAAGATTTCTCTTTGGCAAGGATATTATTCAGTTGTTTCTAATAGGCTTCCTCCAAATTTGAGAGGGTTCTCCTATTCCCTTCCACCATTAACTTGTTTTGCACTTCTAAAGCTTGTAAATGCAATTCATTCCACCTCTCTAAATTGTTCACAACATTATTTCTTTTTTGACAAATTGCATAGCTCTAGACCTAGATACATCACAGTTCCAAGCTTGGTTGATGCCCTCGTGAATTTTGGGGTCAAGACACCACATATGCTCGAACCCGAATGGCTTTGGACAACTTAATTGAATGAGATCCATTTGAAAGACTAGGGATATGTGATCTGAAGAAACTAAGAATGGGAGGTTTTGTAAGAGAGAATTTGGAAAGAGTCTCTCCTCCATTCATCATTCGCAAGGGTCCAATCAATTCTTTCTTAAGTAGTTTTGTTTTTCCACGACAAGATGAAATGAAATAGAGCCATGATATATTGTTAGGGGGTATAATGTATACAGAGTCAAATCCCTTACGTCCATAATATACGTTGAAGGGAGTCTTCCTTTAGACATTTTGTTTGCATGGGTTGGATCACAATTACAATTAATAGGACAATCAGGATTTGGACCAACCATGCAGTGGAACCCACGCTGAATGTTATTTGGCAGGGGGACCATTTTCTAATGGCTTTTTTTTACTATTCCCATGAATGCAATTTAACATAATTTGTTAACGGGTCAAGATGAGTGAGTTAATGGATTTATGGTGTGACCGGAAAACCAGCCAGACAATCGGCTCTGTTTCATCCCTGAGTTGTTGTCTTTTATCAAAAAAACCGTTGACTTGGTTAGAAAGCCACTGATCCAAAAAGTTGAACCGCTAAACCATTCAGCCCAATGAACGATTTTCTGGTTAATTTTATTTTATAATTATTATTTTTTATTTAAAATTTTTAAATATCTTTCAAACTTCATTCAGATAGGATAGTCGAACCACTGGCCTGGAAACCAGACACCAAAGTGGTTCAATCTCCGGATCGGCTTTTAAAACCTTGGGGAGGGTTAGGCTAAATTGAGACCCATTAACATGAGAAGTTAGTATGGGTGGCAAGTGCGAGAATGTGGGTTCGAGTTTGAGAGTGAGAATTTGGGAATGTGCTGTGGGGCACCCGTGGTAAGCGCTCTGTGGGGCGCTGATGTGAATTCTTTGAGAATGAGATTGGCCATTTTGTTGAAAACCAAAAAAAAAAAAAGATGCACAGTGGTGTTGGTTAGATGAGAATTCTCTTACATGTATGTCAGTCAAAGTTTATTAACAAGAGATTCTGGAATGACATGACATACAATCAACTACAATTACAACTCCAATTACAGACGGGTTCACAGAAACCTCGACACCCAGACTACAAACAAAAGAACCCAAATCAAGATGGGAAAAGAGAACATCAGGTTACCATGCATGCTTCTGAAACTAAATGACCAAGCAGAAACTGACATCATATCTGAACTCGCAGCAGCAAGTTGGACGATAATAGCCAGATCTAGGCTGATGAAAGGGCCAAGAGTTAATATGATTTGTTCTACCATTACTCTCTTTTAATGGTAGAACTATTAAAACTCTCAGTTCCTGTACATAGGGCTCTCTCCATGGTTAATTTACAGACTGTATGAACCTCCCAGTGCACTTGGACTACTTGCAAGCTTCAATCTCGTTATAGATTCTGATTGCCGCAGGATGGGTAACAAGGTGTTCAGACCAAAAAATCTACTAAGAATAATTAAGCTTCTGAAAACGAAGCCCTCAATATCAAACTCCTACCTCCCTATCCAATGTGAATTGAAGGGGATCCCAAAAGGTGTGGGATATATCATATCTCAAACCTTACCACCTTTGGGTACCTATACTCAGCAAAGAATTTCAAGTACTGATCAAAATTTTTGATGAATACAAAATAATCAATCAACAATACATCTTAAACCACAGAATATAGTTGATAAATCATATATGAAAAAAAGATGCTAAAATATATACCTTATGAATATTCAACCCTGATGTATTAGAACCACCTGGTTCTGGTTTATTATCAAGTGGTTTCAATATCTCAAAAGAACATGTCAGTTCTTCATCAACACTCAATAAAGCACCTGCATTATCAAATTCCCCGCCATAATTTGGAGCTGAGAATATGGTGACTAATCTCTGCTTAGCAAAAAATTCATACCCATCCTCTACTACCTGCAAGTTCATTTAAGAGCACTACAAACATAAGTTAAATGTGGAATATGAGAATCATGTCCCTATTGGTAGATGTGTCATCCACATTTACTGTAGCTTGAATCTTGCATTTAGGAGGAATAGTGAAATCCTCTGTTCAATGTAAACTAGTTAGGAAATCTTGTAAGGCCGAAAAACAGAAATGTTAGAATCATGATAATCACATGCTCCTGGACAGACAAAAACATAGTGAAATGGCAAGAAAAATAAAGAAGATTCATACATATATTATGCCTTCTGTTGATCTTCTTCTATGATTTCAGTTGATCTTTTGAAGTGCTATGTTGCATAGTTATGTGGTTTGCAGAGAACATTCTCAGACAACTTAACAAGAACAACAAGAATATTAGGATTGCCACAAGCGATGCAAAGGTTGGATAAATAAAAGTTGCTTACCTGATGGGCTCGGCATATGAGGTCAAGATCATTCTTCTCTAAAAATTCATCAACCCTATCCGGTCCAAAGGTATATGAGACGCCTCTATCACTTTCCCCCCAACCCTCGATTTTGGCATCAGGATCCGACCAAAGCAAATCACAAAGGAGACCATTATCCGGGATCTCTATAGGTCTTGGGAGGTCATTTATTTGATTGACATTACTTAATTCTGGAGAAAGACCTCCATGCATGCAGAGAATCTTTTCATCAATGAGTGCAGCCACAGGCAAACAATTAAAGCAATCGGTAAATGTCTTCCAAAGCCGAACATTAAACCTCCGTTTACACTCATCATAGAACCCATAAATCCTATTGATTTTCGCATCTTCATGGTTTCCCCTCAAAAGAAAGATTTTGTCAGGATACCTTATTTTATAGGCCAAAAGTAAACATATTGTCTCCAAGCTTTTCTTTCCTCTATCAACATAATCCCCAAGAAAAAGGTAGGTTGAAGAAGGAGGAAATCCACCACAATCAAAGAGCCTCAAAAGGTCTTGGTATTGCCCATGTATATCACCTGTAGAAGGAAATGATCAACTTAGTAAAGCAGATAGCTGCACATTTAGCACATAAACCATTGTTGATGCTATTATGCATCAAAATCTCAGGTCGGTAAGCATGAAATCAAGGTTCCAAACATCGGTTCACCCGAATGTGGTAGATGGGACGTATTCGACCCCACACACCTTTATTTTTTTTAGTTTTTTTTTTTCAAAAACTGGTCAGGGGGTCTGTCTAAGGGCTGCCTACCCTCGGAAATGGGTCAAAACCCCAAAATACCAAAATTTCGCATGTCAGTGACCTACAGATGGACATGTTCAAGTGGTCACTTAATGCTAAAATGCTAGAGTTTAGGTCCGTTTGCAGGTTATAGACATGAAAACCCTTCCCAAGACCCTAGAAGCTGGGACCAGCTTTGGCTTGGCCTTTGCTGCTTGATGCATGAATCAGAAAACTCCACATTTACAACTTATATACATAATATGCTTTGACTGTTTATTTGCATCCCCTGATCGATGTCCATTGGATGTGTCTTAGTAATTTGACATATCAAATTCAATTTTCAGATAAATACTTTCTGAGATATACCATAATAATTCCAATATTTCATTATCAGCTAAAGAAGAAAGGAAAATGGAGGAAAAAAAAAGATCTTCAAACCAACCAATTCAATAAAACATCCCAGTTAAAAATACAGTTAACTTGGCAACAAATCTCCAACAATGTCAACCAACTTCCAATTCAGCAAGCCCCAACCCCAAGTCCTTAACATTCACAGATAACTCATCAATTGATTCAATGAACCTGGATAAATTCAAGATAAATGTACTTAAAATTACCCAATTCGTTTAAAACCCTGTATATATTCATCCTAAGAATAATCCATCACATGCCAATGCACAAATACATTGGATGAGCCAAAAATAAAAAATGCATTGGATGAGAAACAACAAAAGGGAGAGAAAGTAAAAGAATTATATAGTTATATTTTCTTTAAATTATATCTGCCATTGTAAATCATTATTCTGCCGATCCCATATGGTTGGGATAAGACTTGGATGATGATGATGATGATCGTAAATCATTATTCATATCCAGACTAGCTGAAGAGATAATTATTGAAAGACAGAAAAATCGTTACCTTCAACTTTCGTATTCTAAAACAATCAATTAAAGACGGTAAGGGGAAAAAAGCTTGAACGGGATTCTGTTAGGAATTGCTGATTAAAGAAGAAAGGAGATTATATTGGGGAGGAAAACGAGAACGAACCACAGATCTTGATGGGAGCATGGATCTGAAGGAGATTAGGCTGAGAGAGGAAGAGGTTTCTGGCGTTGACACAGAGCTGCCGGATCTCACCCTCTGATAACTGAACCTGTTTCCCTTTTCTGCCTTCGAGAAGTCTCCAAATGATGTCTTCTAATACAGACCCATCTAACGTTCTCTCTATAGTCATCATTTTCGCCGTCTATCGGAATCCAAAGATCTTGTTCCTGCACCCTGATTATTGTTGATGGAGTGAAAGAGAAGAAAAAGCAGGAGATGCAGAGAGCTGTAGCTTTTCAAGGAGAGAGCGAATGAACATAGAGGAATTGGGTACGAGAGATGGTAATCTAATAAACGATTTGCAGGAGATACGCGAGGCGAATTCACATTGTTGTGTCTGTCTTTTTTCCATTACGACTGCTCTGCTCTATTGTTTCTTCATAAATTTCTGCGGGGATTTTTCTTTTCCATCTATTCTGGACTTCTCTTCCTGAATCTCTCTTCTCAGCCCTTATTTGAGAGAAATAAGAAGATGATTTCATCCGAAATGGTTGAAACCTTCAACAGACGCGTAACCTGCGATTTATGAATTGCGCATGCTATTGCTAGCAACCAACAAACCTTCTGGCTCCGGAATGGTGCCCTTTTCTTTTCCCTGTTTTTACCGGTATATCATTTAGTCAGCAACATAAATTTCCGGATTATTTGGAACGGACACGTGTTGATCCTCTAATTTTCTTCATTTTTAATACGCCACCTCATAGTATAAAATTCTGATGATGTGGCAAATTATTTTAAACATATTACCCAATCGTCCTACAGGCCACAGATATTGTGGGTCCCATAATTGTCTAGAAATTGAAAACTAACCGAATTAGACACGCGTCTCACACTCCCCCACCAATGAGGCTTGGCCTAGAGGCAACAAACTGCATTCGTTTGATCCAGATTCAGATCCCAGCACGTTCCATTTTTAACCATTAATCAAGAATTGACTGGGTTCATCCGAACACTATCTCTACCCAGTTGGCCCACCAAAGAGGGAGGTTAGTTATAATTTATCAAATTCTTGCCCCATAAAAAAGGTCATTCATTAGACACCCCAATACTTTTACATATTTACTATAATCTATCCTTTATTTTATATATATTTAAATTAAATTACTTAACTGACCCTTCATCAAGAATTATTTGAATTTTTTTCATTTACTCTTGAGGGCATGCATAAAATAAAATATGAAGGGGCATAGGTCCAAGGTTTTTATTCCAAAAATAGCCTTAATAAATCTTTTAAAATCCAAGTGATGGCTCAGTTGATAATAAGTTTACGTAGTCCTGAAAAAAGTAATGTTCTATGCCAACGAAAAAAATGAAATACAACCCTTATCCTATGAGGGTAAAAGATGATGATTCAATAAGAACAAAAAAAAGAAAAAGAAAGTAGTTATTCTCAAATGAAAATACAAAAAGTTCCTAAGGTTCAGTTTGGAAGGAGTATAAATGCAAATATGTAGAGCATAAATCATGGTTTTTAAAATTGAATCGGTGATTGAACTGGTCAGGGGTTCTGTTATCAGGTCGAACAGTCTGATCATTCGAATCGAACGTTTAGCCCGTGCTAACAAAAAATCAAAAAAATAAAAAATGGTCAAAACTGTTCGAACGATTAACCGCCTGGTTCAACGATTCGCTGACCAAAATCAATGATTTTGGGGGAAAATCCGTTTTTTTGGAAAAACAGATCCCGTTTTTTCCGGTCTGACCGTCTGGTCCGATCTGATTTTGAAAACCATGGCATAAATACATACAAAATAATATAAATTATAAGGTTTTATACTCTACATATTTACATTTGTACTCCTTTCAAACTCAACCTAATGGACAACTGAATAAAAAATTGCAAACTATTGGGAATGTTTTATTAATATGCAAACTAGAGAATAGGTTTTTCAAAAAATACATGAAACCATAAGGACTGCTAAGTAAATGACCAAGAAAACAAAAAGTATATAAAATCCTTTTGCAATGATAAGTGATAATCCTTTAACAAAGACACCATCAAAATGAGATGAGATGAGATGATACGAGACCTGTAACCTAACAAGCAAGTGCTTTGCCCAATATCACAGATACAATATATATGATCAATCGTCATCATATCATAGGCAAGTAGATTTACCCTATATTCTTCTGATTGCATCAAATCTCATTTATTTATTAATACATAATTAAAAAGCGAATTCAAGGGGGGAAGAAAGAAGAAAAAGAAAAAGGCTCAAGTTATACCATCATTCATCGAAAGTTAGGTGAAAAACAAATTATAATGGCCCTGATTATTTGTTGAGTTTGAATCCACCTGTTTCATTAAAAATTACTTTCTAAGGAAACGATTGTTGCAATATTATAAGGCATAAGTTTGGCGATTTACATCATCAACAAGAAGTAGCTAGGATTTTAATATCTCAACTATTAATTCGACAAGTCTACCCAATTTGGTAGCGAATTATTCAAGACAACAAAAAATAGACAGGTCATTTCATATGTTTAAATCCGAGTTTGGAAGGAGTACAAATGTAAATATATAGAGTGCAAAACCTTATATTTTGTATTATTTTGTATGTATTTATATTGTAAATATTTGCATTTATACTGCTTTCAAACTGAATCTTAAGTAACCAGACTTTTAAGACTAGAGATATTAATGTAGGACTTATTAATCCCGTGTGTCCTATGCAAAATAAAACAATAAGAAGAGTGAGCTGCATCCTTGGGGAAAAACCGTCTTAGCTCAAGTCGGTAATATGTTGAATTCAGATAGCAAAGTGGACAAAACAAGTAAGGTTATATTTGTTTTCGGTGTAAATGTGAATCGATGTAAATATACATCGATTCAATTATCACATCTTAATATTTATAGAGGAGAGAGAGGAGAGCTATGCTCCTCGCAAAGTTCTAAAGTTCTAATCCTCCTAGGAGACGGTTTCCCCTAAACGAACCAAGGAGTTCGTATGGGATATCTTCATCCAGTCCCAGGTCCAGGAGGGGTGCAAGGTCAAGGTTATTCTGATCAGCATAGATTTTGGTTCCGATTTGGCACAGGTCGTCAACAAGTTCCCCAAAATGCCCATCCATTCAAGGGGACGTGGCAAGCTCAGATTGGGGCCACATCAAAGGGGATGGATGCATCAAGGGTGCTACCATGGCAAAGATTGGCTATTCGAGCTCGGCTTGCAAGAATATAATTAGGTTTGAGTTCGAGCTAGAGACTTGAACTCAAGTTCATCTCGGTTCATAGCTTGCAAGTTCGAGTTTGGCTCATATTTTTTTTTTGAAAAATAAAAATTATATGTATACATTTTTTTTTTATTTTTTAGACCAAAAATTAAGAATCATAAAAATTATTTAATATTATATATATAATAAATAATTATAAAAGTTATTTACTATTATACATACATATATTTTTTTATTATGTATGTATATAATAAAAATGATTTATTTAATACTAGGCTCGCAAGCCTCACAAGCCAAGCTTCATTGGGCTCAAATTTGGCTCGATTAGTAAACAAGCCTATATATTGGGCTCGAATTCAGTTCGAAACTCTATTTAAACCGAATCGAATCGAGCTCAAATAACTCGTGAAAGGCTTGGCTCATGGCAACCCCTCGGGTTAGGGTTGAAAAAGTGTGAATCCAACTTAACTTTGGGTTGATGGGTTCAATTAGGGTTGACTCCTTGGGTAACCCAACCCAAACCCAAGCCTATCAATAGTAGTAGTAATATAATATGCCAGTCCTGCTTGCCGAGTTCAACTTCAGTCAGGGCAAAGCCCATTCAAACAGTCGTTACTGCTTTGTATTGAGAATATCTCTATACTTATTTGTTTTATTTCATGGGAAGATATTACCAATGCAATATTGCAAAAGGCTGTTAGAATGGTGTGGATACAGATTTCCTCTGATAGAAGCCAATCTCCTGTTTGCCACCATTCTCTCCTACTTGTTGACAAACACCTTGCGTCCTTGCTCTATTGCTCCCGTGTTAGTTGCGGGCCCAAATTGCAGCCTTATGTCCTTTGTAGTTTGCATTCTACTCTCTCAGTTTTGATGTTTTCTTGCTGTTGCCAAATTAGAAGAGTATTTTTATCATTCTGCCTAATTTTGAGTTGTAAATCCCTCTAACATTGTGTAGCGTATATTGTATTGTTTTTCCTGTATAGATGCTTTTTAAAACAAAAAGAGTAGGACTTGTATTTTATTTTAATTTATTGAAATATTTAGAAATTAAAAGAAACAGAAGATTGAAGAGCCGACATAGATTTCCGTTTAAATTATAGTCCATGGCATGGCTTACCCCTTTTTTGTGAGCTATGTGTCATTTTCCTCGTTGAAGTTCTACAACTTCGGGTTGGGTTGATACCTAATGTCATTTTCCTTTGGAACTTGAGTCCTAGTGTCATTTTCTTTCGGCTTGGGTTAAATTATAGTTCTTTGGAACTTGAACCCAACCTTCGGGTTGGGTTGATACCTTCCCTCCAAACACACATTGCCAAATGTTATTTTCCTTTGGAACTTGAGTTATTTCTAAAAAATCCGAAGCATGGGTTGCCCCAACTTTAAGTGTGGCTTTGGGCAAGGTTTAGTCAGGTTGATGATTGGGTTAAGTAGAGGTGGATTCGAACCAAGTCGAGCTGAATACTTGGCTATTTGAGCTCGGCTCGCAAGAATAGTATTAGGTTCGAGTTCGAGCTCGATTCGAGTTAGAGATTTGAAATCAAGCTCATCTCGGTTCATAGCTCGCAAGTTCGAGCTTGGCTCAAGTTTCTTTTTTTCGAAAAATAAAACTTATATGGATAGAGCTGTAAATCATATGAGCCCTTTATATGGATAGAGTTGTAAATCAGGCCATGTCGTCTGCAGCCCGGCACAACCCGATATGATGGAACATGGGTCGTGTTGGACTTGGGGTTTTAGGTCCATGGACCAGCATGGCACGACACAATTCCCGTGGGCCCACAATGGGCCGAGTGCAGCCCGTATGGTTAGTTAAATTTTTTTTAGGGAGTTTTTTACAGAAATACCCCCTCAATCAATAGTTATAAGCCTATAAATAGCTATATAGGGGGATATTTATGTATTTTGGCTTTGGGGAATAAAAGGATAATAATGCCCCTCCAATAGTTATATCATATTATCCTATATAACAGCTAGTTTGGGACTTTGGAGGCATTTGGGTAAAGTGATAAATGACTTTATTTTCAATTCCTATAAATAGCCCTATCCTCCACCATTCTCATCACACTAATTCAGAATTTCTCTTATCAATTCTTCATACTCTCTCAGTCTCTCATACAGTGTCATACACTTGGCAATTTAAGAGGAGGCTTTGAGGCTTCAACCACTGAAATCAAGTTGAGATTCCAAACCGGTAATCCGGGTAAGTGCAATTAAATTAATTTTTATTTTTTTAGAATTAAAAAAATGGCCAATTCCTTCTCCTGAAACCAATTCCCCATCACTAAATTGACTAGCCTAATTTGAAAAATATTTAAAATAGAAGAGGTTGAGGGGAAGGAAGAGCCGTTCGCCAAAAATGTAGGATTAATTTTAGCTTCAGTAGCAAGGGT